TACATGGCTTTTAATTGTGTTTAAAATTAGTCTGTTAGACTGAGTGTGTAGCTTGGCAGTGGAGCATGTGCTCAGGAACCATGAGGCCCTGGGTAAGATTTCCCCCACACCAAAAATAAAAAAAAAATGTTAGCCTTTGTTTTTTCTAAGTGTAAAATTTGTCAAGGATGATACTTTATTTTTCTAGATACCTGTTTCCTTTCTAATTCTTCTTATTGAGCACCTGAATGTGCTTAAAAATTATAAAGTCTAGTGCTCCAATGTGGAGCACCAGACTGAGCTCCCAAGGTCCAAATGAGAGAACATGAACAAGGAAGTCAGGACTGCGAGGGGTGCACCCACCCACTGTGACAGTGGGACTGATCTAATGAGAGCTCACCAAGGCCAGCTGCTGGGACTGAAAAAGCATGGGAAAAACCAGACTCTCTGAACATGAGGACAGTGAGGGCTGATGAGAAGCCAAGGACAATGGCACTGGTTTTGATCCTATTGCATGTACTGGCTTTGTGGGAGCCTAGTCAGTTTGGATGCTCACCTTCCTAGACCTGGATGGAGCGGGGAGGACCTTGGACTTCCCACAGGGCAGGGAACCCTAACTGCTCTTTGGACTGGAGAGGGAGGGCGAGGGAGAGGGAGGGTGGGAATTGGAGGCGGGGAGGAGACGGAAATTTTTAATAAAATAAATAAATAAATTTAAAATAAATAAATAAGATTATAAAGTCTGAAGAGAAAAAAATACAACAAAGATAGTATTCTTTATCTCAGAGACCTCACAGTCTGGCAAAGAGACAGCCCAAAATGTGTAGTACAGGAATTACTGTAATAATACAGTTTTTGTGCTAAAAAAGATTACAGATGATACTGGACAAGATAGCAATTGGGGAGGTTTCCAGGCAGATGAGGAGGTTATAAAAGTTGTATTCTATCTCATGATGAGGGAGCTCAGTACATGCCAGTTAGGTGGTGATGGGAGCATGAGAACAGCAAGTACCTCCAGACTGGTCATTTGGTTGACTACTACAGCATGCACAAGCAAAGATGGCTGCTGAACCTGAATTGTAAATCGCTTTGTGGCTCATACTTAGGATTATTGGGGGGGGGGAACTACCACACTAGACAAGCATGGTAGTGCACATGCTTTTAATCCCAGCACTCAAGAGGCAGGTGGATCTCTGAGTTTGAGGCCAACCTGGTCTACAGAGAGAATTCCAGGATAGCCAGGACTATATAGAAAAAGCATCTCAGAAGAAGAAAAAAAGGAAAACTACTAAGCTGTGTGCAGTGATCAGATTTTCCATTTTGAATTTCATAGGACAGTCATTTTCATGCATGGAGCCTGCCACAAACTGTCAATATCACATATGAGGTCATATGAAGAAATATTACCAATAACCAGAGTATTAGAACTTACACATCACACACTTTTTCTAGTCAATTAACACTAGTTGATCTCTATTCCTTTGCATTCATTTGCACTCCAAAATGCTTTTTTTAGTGAAAGACAAGGATGGATACACACACACACACACACACACACACACACACACACACAGCTAGAGAGACAGAGACAGACAGACAGTTAAGACACCTGATTGTAAGCATCATGTAAAACTACATTACCCACAAGTGGAAAAAAGGATTATGTTGATGTTGGTGTGTCCTTTCAAAAATAAGTTGCCTGAGTCAGGCGGTGGTGGCGCACGCCTTTAATCCCAGCATTTGGGAGGCAGAGTCAGGTGGATCTCTGTGAGTTCGAGACCAGCCTGGTCTACAAGAGCTAGTTCCAGGACAGGCTCCAAAACCACAGAGAAACCCTGTCTTGAAAAAAAATAAGTTGCCTGTGTGAACATTGTAAGTAGTTTGGGTACTTAATGTCTATGAGAAGAGAACAGGACCACAGCTGCCCTTTAGTGAGTATTTACTCTCAAAGCGCTCTGCTAACTGTTTGGTTTGCATTGTTTTCCTTACAGCTCACTGACCTAAGATTATGGGTATTACTTGTAAGGTTTTATAAATTTCAGATCATTAAAGGTGAAGACCAAAATTATAGCAGTTACAGTGGAATCTGAGGAAAATGAAAGGAAAATTTAGAAGGCAAAACAAACTTCATAGTTTTATTGAACATAAACATAGCATGCAGTCCACAATGCCACTTCAGGCAAATATAAGAGTGTCTTTCACCAAGTGTTTGGATACTTAAGAAGCTTTGAGATTGGCAGTAGTTGAAGATTTGGCATAATGAATTTAAAATGCTTATATAATATAATTATGAGATGTTTGGCCATTAGGCAACTGTCCATATAGCTGTAGGTCTTAGAAGTCTGTGGTGAAAAAAAAGAAGTCTGTGGTGGAATTTAAGGAGTTGACATCATCTATAGTAGCTAAATTATGATTATTATTATTATTAATGAGATTATCAGAGCATAGTGATAGAAGAACCAAGGGATTTCAGCAAAATGCTTCCATTTAAAGAGAAAGCTGGTGGGCTGGAGAGATGGCTCAGAGGTTAAGAGCACTGGCTGCTCTTCCAGAGGTCCTGAGTTCAATTCCCAGCAACAACATGGTGGCTCACAACCATCTGTATTGAGATCTGGTGCCCTCTTCTGGCCTGCAAGCATACATTGAAGGAATGTTGTATACGTAATAAATCTTTAAAAAAATAAAATAAAGAGAAAGAGAAAGCTGGGCCTGGTACAGAGAAATATATAGCTCAGTGGTTGAATTCTTGCCTAATATGTGTAAGGCCTTCCCCAGAATCGTGAGGGATAGAAGGAGGGAGGGCAGGCAAAGTGAGTAGCCATTGAAGGGTTAGCAGTAAAAGAAAGAGAAGTTTTAAATGATTTATCTCAGTCAAACACAGAGATGTTATTAAAATTATAATTGAGTTTTATTTTACCCCTGGAAGTTTTGCAACATTTACTTGAAGCACTTCAGTCTATTTTCAGAATTTGATAGGATAGTTTTTTATTTTCATATTTTGATGTTTTTACCTTTTATTTATACTTATTTATTTTTTACATAGAGTGTCACAATGTGTTGCCCAGGCTATCTCCAAACCCCTGGCTTTAATGAATTCTCTTTCAACCTCCCAAGTGGCTAGGACTACAGGCATGCATTGCTGTTCCTGGCTCACTCTTTAATTCCAATTCTATTCCATTCTGTTATTAGCTATTAATAATAGCCAAGAAAGACTGCAAATGTCTAAAACAGAAGAGTACCTAGAATACCAGCTCCCAAATTGCCAATATCTAGTCAGCCACCAGATTCTGTCAAGAAATCTTTTCTACCCAGGACTGATGGTACATTCCTAAAACCTTAGCACTTGAGAAGCTGAGGAAGGAAGATTAGGTATTCAGGGTTATCTGTGACTACTTAGTGAGTTTGAAGCCTGCCTAGGCTATTTGAGATGTCTTTAAACAATAATAATAAAAATAAATAAATCTCCAGGTTTTTGCCCCTTCAAACGATTTTTCTCCTAGATTTAAGGAGTATAAACTATTAAATTACAAACTTGACTACCTTACCATCTTACTTAGCGCTTTATTGTTCTAGAATAAGTCCATATTTGTTAATATGGCTTGCAAAGACCTTCCTCATCTTTCTATTCTCAACATCTTCCACCTTACTGGCTTTCATGTTCTCCTTGACAACAAATTTCTACTGTAGCCACATTGCATTCTAGTCAGTTCCTCAACTGTGACATTGTATTAGTTACTTCCTATTGCTATGATAAAGCCCCATGAGCAAGGCAACTTGGAGAATATTTAATTGAGCTTGCAGTTTTAGAGAGTTAGAGTTCATGATGGAGCAAATGCATGGTGGCAGAATCAGTAACTCACATCTCAATCCACAAGCAGGAGGCAGAGAAAGCTAACTTGAAATCGCAATCATCTTTTGAAACTTCAAAGCCTGTCCCTGGTAACACTGACACGCCTCCAACAAGAGCACACCTCCTAATCCTTTACAAACAGTTCCACCAACTGGGGACCAAGTATTGAAACACAGGAACCTACAGGGGCCATTCTCATTCAAACCACCAAACACATGTTTTCTTGTACCTTAGGGTTTTCCTCCAGATCCACTTCCTTTTGTCTACCTGAGATGTTCTGCTTCCTTCATACCGTCTCACATCCAGCTCTTACCTATTCTTCAGGGCTCACCTTTTTTTATTCAGTGCTTCTCAACCTGTGGGTCATGACCCTTTGGTTGCATACCAGATATTTCCATTACAATTCATAACAGTTGCAAAATTATTGTGGTGAAGTAGCAATGAAATCATTTTATGGTTGGTGTCCCCACAACATGAGGAACTGTATTAAAGGGTCGCAGAAGTAGGAAGGTTGAGAAGCACTGCTCTTAAGAGTCAGTTTTGCCAGCACTCAGGAGACTGAAACAGGATTGTCACAAGTGTGAGACTAGACTGAGCTACTCAGAGTAGCAGGCTAATTGGGGGTACATGGCAATACTCTATCTCAAAAAAGTAACAATCAAAAGCGACATTTTTGTTGTTACTGTTTTTTGAGACAGGGTTACTCTGTGTAGCATCCCTGGCTGTCCTGGAACTGGCTCTGTAGGCCAGGCTGGCCTTGAACTCTCAGGTGTCTCTTTTCTTCTAGCTACTCTTGGAACTTGCTCATCCCATCAGGGACTTTACCTTGCTTTGTAACTGATTCTTTATCTCTCCCTTACTGAACTAAAGCTTTATAAGGCCAGAACTCTCTGAATAGTATAAACCTCTAGAATTAAAACAAAGTTAAGAAAAGCTAGAATAAACTCATCCTTTTCACAATAATAAAATTGTGGTACTTGGGAAAGAGAAAAGAGAGATTCAAGTATTTTTCTTAACAAATATATCCTAATATTTGCTTTGTTACCAAAGGACTGTTACCAGGAAATGTAGCATCATAAAAGCTGAATAAGAATGCTGACAATATCAATCATAGAAATGAGAGGAAAAAAGGAGAATTAACCTTGTCTTATTCTTCTCCTTCACCTGATAGGACCTGGTGTCAAAGATGCTTCATGTAGATCCTCATCAGAGACTGACTGCTGCTCTTGTGCTCAGACATCCTTGGATTGTCCACTGGGACCAACTGCCACAATACCAACTAAACAGACAGGATGCACCACATCTTGTAAAGGTGAGCGGCCCTATATCCAGTCACTGCTTTCTGTATGACCTGCAGGATGGACAAGACCAGCTGAGCCTCCAAGAAGTCTGTCTTCATGCCCAAGCAACTTTTCCTTTCTAGTATGGGATTCTCATACATGGGTACCTAACGCTTGGGGGCATGGTGACACAAAATGTCAGTAATTAAGTTAGCTTAAGGGAAACTTTTGTATTTCTGTCATCACTGTCAGTAAGACAGAATCTATGAACTTTTCTAAATGAAAGATCGTGGTTTATAGCCTCTCATACTACAGGGCCATAAAGACAAATTAAATGGCCCTAAGAAAAATGAAAACTGTTCTGTTTGAGCCCCTCCCTGTCCTTTTGTCATACAAAATTTCAACCTCTTACACTGCCTCAGTTTAAGTTAAATCTGAAAAATTAGCCAGAGGTTATTCTTATTATGAGACTGATAAAGATCTATATTCATATACATATGAAAATCCCTGGGGGACCTTTATTTTATACTTGTATACATGCCTTTTTTTTGTTGTAACCTTTCTTTGCATTTTTCAGGGTGCCATGGCAGCTACATACTCTGCTTTAAACCGTAATCAGTCACCAGTTTTGGAACCAGTAGGCCGTTCTACTCTTGCTCAGCGGAGAGGTATTAAAAAAATCACCTCAACAGCCCTGTGAAGTAACCTCAGTGAGATATTTGGTACCATGATGTAAGCTGATAGCACAAGTTCTGGCGACAGGTAGCACATACCTGAGAGACATCCTGCAAGCACACACTGTCCCAGCTGGTACCCATAATGCTGCTGCTCCTGCTGCTCCTGCTTTCGTCTCTTCTCGCTTTGATTGTTAGCAAGTTAGATTTTCCTGGAGCTTCGAAATGGAAATGGAAACATGATGAAGATATAATCACTGAATCAACAAGAAAAATAATGAACACATGAATACCACCTAAAATACACTGAATAAAAGTACTCTACACCATATAGCATTATTTTTATAGAAAATATTTCATGTCCCCTAAATATTCTTTGTTAGTTATAGGGATGGACAGTTTATGTTAAGCACTGTTTCCCTTGTGCCATCCAACATTTTGTATGTTTTTGTAAACAGTTCATATACAGTACATTTCCGTACTGCTTTCTTTAATGTATACATGCCTTGTTTAACTTGGAGTCTATTAATCAATTGACTATTAAATCTGGATAAATAGTTCACCTGGATTAACAGTATTGTTGGGAAAACTTAAAGATGGCCAGATTGATTGAACAGATTTGATTGAACAGCTGTTGAATGTCATTCTTTCAAATTGTACATATTTTCCTCCATTTCTCTCACTGGTTTGTTCATTTGTTTCTTCAAGTCAGGTGCTCTGTCAGACTAACCTAAAGAGCTGTTAATTGTAAAGAAAGTTGTGTGTGTGTGGCATGAAATCAAGAATACACCTATGAAGTGAGTCCATATACTTTGTGATTTCTTAGGGTTTCTTTAAGGAAGTAATCCTCGCACTTTTAACCTTACATAGTCCTCATACTTAGTATTTGGCATATCATTTGAAATCTCGCCAACATACATGAAAGGCCTTTAAAAGAATCATATTAAAGAAATTGGAAAAGGGAAATTTAGCAATTGATAACTAAAGCCTTACTGGATATTTCATGTTTAAATAGATATTCTATATTAAACACTAATTTGAATGTAATAAAGGCCACAGGTCTCCATATGAAATTGGATTTAAACTTTCTTATTCTAGAGAATAAAATATTCTTGGTCAAACAGTATCTGTTCTAACCTGAAGTCCTAGCTGAGGCAGGCTCAATGACTGTTTTCTGAATCCCTGTTGATGGTTTATAGCCATATGATGTTTCCTTTGACTTCAGTTTTCATAATGGTCCTTGGCTGTGCTTCAGTGCAGTACTCAGTATCTCCATCTAACTTGCTAGTTTCCAGTTTCATTTGACAGAAGAAACTTTTGTACCCATCATTACCCATATCTTTGTGACACTACCCAGTGTACATTAATATGTGATGTGAAAAACATGAGCAAAGAAAAAAAAGTGATGTAACTTAAACCTCATTAGGAATGTGCCCCCCTAGATGTGTCACTTAGTGAGCCGTTTACATCATAAACCTTTTCACTCAGAGCACTAACCCAAAAGTGTGCTTTTTGCAATTCATAAAAGACAGTAGTCATTCTTTATCTTCTCTGCTACAAAAGAAAAAGAGACAATTTCTAATACCACCTTTGCCCGAGAAACACGAAATGGGGATGCATAGAAACCAAATGTCAGTTTACCTTCTAAATAAAAAATACATATTAGTACAATGCCAGAAGTTCTGCATACCAGCTACTGAAGTTCTTGAGTATATGAGTACATGGATGCAACTACTCAAAATTGCTCTCCATTGCCTGGCAAGAAAGCCTTTCCCCTTCTTCTATTCAATGTGTCAGATTCTTTCATTTATCCCATCTCTCATCTAGTTTTTCCTCATAACACCATGCTGCCCTTATTTCATATTATCACCAAAAAGAGCTAAAGTCAAAATCATGTACTTCTTAGGGCAGTCCTCTACCATATTATGATGCAAAATTTATTTCCTTTAAGAAGAATTACCTTTGCCTTCTTTGTCTAGTCAAACTGCCAGTTTTGTTGGAGAAAAGCAAGTTATAGATTCTCAAAACTGAAGACTTCCTACTGACAAGACAGGTTAGGAACATAAATTACTTCATCTGTGGCTCTGGTGTTCACATTATCTTAGGGCAAACATAGCCAACAATGTGCTTGTGCTGGGTTAGCCTTTCCATTCTTTTCACAAAGTCCATTTCCTACAGGCCACCGTACTTATGAGATTAAGGCTCCTGAAGTCTTCTGCCTTCCCTGCATCACTGCCAATTTCTGGGGCTTATCTCATAGTTGTTGACCCTGTTTTTATGTTTCTAAAAGAAGGAACTAAACTGAGGACTCTTTTTGCAGACATCTCTTGGTTTATGATGTAAAATAACATCCCAAACAATAGAAATGCATTTAACATAGCCAAGCACGTACTGGAAACTGAATTAAAATATGTGTTTTGCATCTTCCCTTTCAATTGATGATAGTAAATTAAGGTAAGTTTTGTTGTTTTTTGTTTGTTTTGCTTTGCTTTTTATGAATCATTTCAGCTCCTTCTGTTTAAAAAGTTATCTTCTAAGTGCATTAATCCCTTGAATTTAACAGATGTGATGTAAATCTGTTTTTCACAAGCAACCCCAAAACTCTAAAAATAATTTTGGCAAGACCCAAAGTCAAGATGCTGTTAAGCTGGCATACGGAAGAGTAAGTTCTGAGTGTCAGGAGAGAGGATGTAGGGTATGTGTGGTAGTTTGCACATTTCATATGCATTGCACTCCAAGGAACAAGTTGGGAGGATCAAACCATTGTTCCATCTGTTCTTTAGGCGTGGCTTCTGTTGGGATCAGAAGACATCAAGAGAAGTGGGGGTGTCCTTAAAGCTGTGCCCATACCTTCCGTCCAGGAAGAATTTGAACACAGAGTAGGTGCAGAAGCTTCAAGAGAAAGCATGTATTTGAGAGGAAAAGGACCAGAGTAGACTCATTCTGTGATGAAAGTTAGCCAAAGGTTTTTTTCTAGACTTTGGGACCATGGTATTGATGTTCTTATTCACTGTGGAGGCCAGTAACACACATCTCACTATGACTGATAGTTTCCAGTCCCTACCTTTTATGAATTACCTACAATATTTTAGATTATTTTTCTATATTTTATAAAATAAGTTCCATCTTAGTGTGGTGATAATAATTGGAGACTTGTGAAAGTATTCAGAGAGGTCTCAAACGTAAAGGGTCAAAAAAGGTTTATTTTCTGAGACTCACAAAAACAATGGATTCAGTAGCTGATCTTGGTGCTTCAACCAGGAGGGTTCAGTCTAACTATCTGTCCCTCTGCAAGATCCAACTCCCTGTGACTAACTGGATGTATACTTTGAGCCTTATTTAATTCACAGAGAAGTTGACTTAATTCAGTGTTTTTATTTCAATTAATGAAAATAGTCCTCTTTTCAACCCCAGGTTGCTTACATTTTGCTGATCTCCCCAAGTGACCATTGGTGGAGATTAATGAAGGAATGAATTCAGTTTCTTGAGACTGTGGTATTCTACAGAGCCACACCTAACCACTTTTTCCACTGAAGAATCTACACAGTGATAATGCCCAAATATGGATGGCCAAGAAAAATTTGTATCTACAGTGTGCTTTGTTTTTGACACTGCTGTGTTCTAACTGTAACACAACACTGCTGTGTTGCTAAGTCACTTGTAACTGGTTCTAAAGTGACAGTTCACAAAAAATTTTAGTAATTAAGTCAACTTAATTTTCTTAAACCTAATGTCACTATAGGTCTCATATTTCCCACTTTTATTCCAGTCTTTTACCTGTTCATAATGGGCATAGCAAGGGTTGGGATGAGAGCCTACTTCCTACCTCTTAAGGCACTTTCCTCATTGTTTTGCCATATAACCTTGAACTGCATGATAAGCTGTTGAAATATCATGACTTCCCAGAGCAACTAGCAAGGCGTATGCTGTTTTGACTAGAGATTAGTGGAAAGGAAAACTTAGAGATTTAAGTCCAGATGTATGAACCTCAAGAAAATGTCTTCTAGCACCATTTAAGTACAGTATATGGAAATGTATTTGAGAAGAGAGTCACTATAATAATTCTCTCTAAGTAGATTAGTTCAATGTCCAATGAAAGTGAACATCTTTATTCCTATATTACTATAGTACTGGATGTACTGTGTACTGAGTTTTTCAAACAAGTATTTAAAGTAGAACTTTTAAGTACAAAGCAAGGGCATGAGGATAAAGACTTGGGTTGTGTTTCTGTAAGTGTAGTTTACCATATAAAACTTGGGGTTTTTATTTAAAGAAGGTTTTGAAGTATTGCCATTCATTAGTGTCCTTAATGATTATGAGTGATGAGTGTGTAACGCAATATCATATACATGTATTAGTTTATCTTGACATTTACCCTAAATAAAAAGGGAAGGTATACACCTAAAAGATGTAATTATTTTGCATTTTTGGCCATGAGTGGGAATGGGGTGGGCATCAAATTAAGCAGTTTTTAAAAAAGAAAAAAATCATAAATATTTTTCTACTGTTATATATGATCTTACTTTATACTAGTTCATCTCTAGTAAGGCATGCCAGAAGCCCAAGCAAGGTACCATATCAAGGGTTCTTATGTGTTGTACCTTTTATTGGTGGATAAATTGCATAGATGCTTGGCACTGCTGCCATAGTTATGAAATGCTTGTGAGGATCAGATTTTACTGAGTACTTTAAATTGTTTTACTTAAGTTTGCAAATCATACTATTAATGTGTAATCTAAGCTCTTTCCAATGTATCCATGAATAATCCTGGAACAATATTGCTTGTATTCCTGTCAAAGAACAGGTTTTGTAATCTTTAAAAGAAATGGAAATTTATATAATAAAGTTTCAAGTAAAGCATATATGTTCCTTTTATCATATTATTTTAGTTCTATTACTAGAATATTATAAAAATTTCTTACCAGGTTGTATTTATGAAATTATGCTGATAGAATTTAAAACAGGACTATTTCTAATTTAGTATGTACAAAATAATTTTGCAATGCTTCATCTTAAATTCATGTTCTCAGTATCAAGCCAGACACAAATGAAGTAATCTTTTTTTGGAGAAGTCTAAAACTACTAGAGTTGGCTACAGAACTGCCCCTTTATCCTTTGGGTTTTTTTTATATTTATTTATTTATTATGTATACAATGTTCTTTCTCTGTGTATGCCTGAAGGCCAGAAGAGGGCACCAGACCTCATTACAGA